TGAATCAGACAAACACAAAACTGAATCAGACAAACACAAAACTTGAATCAGACAAACACAAAACTTGAATCAGACAAACACAAAACTTGAATCAGACAAACACAAAACTTGAATCAGACAAACACAAAACTTGAATCAGACACAATACTGAATCAGACAAACACAAAACTTGAATCAGACACAATACTGAATCAGACAAACACAAAACTTGAATCAGACAAACACAAAACTTGAATCAGACAAACACAAAACTTGAATCAGACAAACACAAAACTTGAATCAGACAAACACAAAACTTGAATCAGACAAACACAAAACTTGAATCAGACAAACACAAACTGAATCAGACAAACTCAAAACTTGAATCAGACAAACACAAAACTGAATCAGACAAACACAAAACTTGAATCAGACAAACACAAAACTTGAATCAGACAAACACAAAACTTGAATCAGACAAACACAAAACTTGAATCAGACAAACACAAAACTTGAATCAGACAAACACAAAACTTGAATCAGACAAACACAAAACATGAATCAGACAAACACAAAACTTGAATCAGACACAATACTGAATCAGACAAACACAAAACTTGAATCAGACACAATACTGAATCAGACAAACACAAAACTTGAATCAGACAAACACAAAACTTGAATCAGACACAATACTGAATCAGACAAACACAAAACTTGAATCAGACAAACACAAAACTTGAATCAGACACAATACTGAATCAGACAAACACAAAACTTGAATCAGACAAACACAAAACTTGAATCAGACACAATACTGAATCAGACAAACACAAAACTTGAATCAGACACAATACTGAATCAGACAAACACAAAACTTGAATCAGACAAACACAAAACTTGAATCAGACACAATACTGAATCAGACAAACACAAAACTTGAATCAGACACAATACTGAATCAGACAAACACAAAACGGAATCAGACAAACTCAAACGAGCCAGCACATTGTTTGACCTTCCCGCACCGTGACCGATTTCAAAGTGAACTCATTTTGGTGAAGACATAAAACGAGGCTGAAGACACATTGGAAATGGGGTTGGGAAATTTGGAAAGAGTACCATCTACTTCCGGTGTGAGGGGGTAGGTGAAATGTTTAAGGCAGTCTGACCTTGAGGGAACAGACGAGATGAGAGAAAGGTTGGGGGGGGGGGGGGTGAGGGAGCTTTTTTCTGTTTCTTGAGAATAGTTTTTGTTGGGGGGGGGGCAGGAAAGATAGGGTAGGGATGGGGGTGGCTATGTTATCTTTTTTTCTAAACAAGACAAATCCGATCGTTAAACGCCTTAGGCTTTGGTCTCCTGTAGGTGGGGGGGGGGGGGGGGTGTATGAGTGTGGTTTGGTCTGGCGGTGTGTGTATGTGAGTGTGTGTGTGTAGAACTACATGTGTGTGTTCGTGTGTGGCTAAGCGTAAACCTGGGCTTAGTTCCAGTTCACTGACTTTTATTTTTACGTCGAAGCAAAAAAGATGTCGGTATTTTTACTTACCACATTTGAGCTAACCTAGTTATTTTTGGTGTTATTTAGGGGAGGGGAGAAAGTTTTTGAAATCTGATATTTAAAATGTTCGGTAGTTTTTGTTTTGTGGTGAGTTATGACGATGATTGGTGTAGGTTGTGGGAGTTTTGGATGGTTGTTGATGATTGTTGCAGGTTGTTGTTGATGGTTTTAGCTGTTTGTCGATGGTTGCAGCTGGTTGTTGATGGTTGCAGCTGGTTGTTGATGGTTGCAGCTGGTTGTTGTGGGTTGTTGATGGTTATTGATGGTTGCTGATGGTTGTTGCTGATTGTAGCTGGTTGTTGTTGATGGTTTTAGCTGTTTGTTGATGGTTGCAGCTGGTTGTTGATGGTTGCAGCTGGTTGTTGATGGTTGCAGCTGGTTGTTGTGGGTTGTTGATGGTTGTTGATGGTCTCAGCTGGTTGTTGTGGGTTGTTGATGGTAGCAGCTGGGCCATGGGCCACACCACGATAATGTGACGTGACGTCATGTGGTGATGGGGTGGGATACCATTTTACTACGCAAATGCTGCGTCGGCATGTAAGTTATAGAGAAGCAAAATATTGTAAATTATAAATATTTGTTATATTCTCATCTCTGAAGGACCAAGTAGGTTGTTTTTTGTTGTTTTTTTACATCGTCCCAAAATAGATTATAATTACAATATATAACAACATTGAACTTTAAAATAAAACTAATTAAAGCATCGACACAATCAATAAATTGGTAATCTACAATACAAGACATTTCACCTTTAAAAAAATATATATAGCAATTTTTTTTTTGCTATTTCTGCATTTATTTTTTTATCACACGACGTCGCTAATTCCCCCCCCCCCCCCCCCCCCATGTGCGTAAAACCATGACCCTACTTGCCGTTCTGGGAAATCCAGCCCCTCAGACAACCAATCGCTACAAAAACTCTACTTCACCATCTCTAAAGACACCTCAAACCCTGTGACCACCATCACCTGCGACAGGCTTAGCTACTGTAGAACAGCCTTTTTACCATCACTGCTGTTTTTGTGTCGGCATCTAGCCGTCTAACACATATACTGCCCCAAAAAAAATTAACATTTTCATTGTCGGCATTGTCTGGCATAATTTTTCCCCTAAAAAACAGAATGAGCTACATTTGTAGGTTAACATCTTTCTCGTCTGCGTCAAACAAAAGCTCATAAATTACGCGCCGCGCATGCGCCGAGAGGCATCACTCGCGCAGCTCTCGCCGGCGTGATGGGTCGGGAACTCGGGGCTGGCGGGGTCAAGCAGAACTCACCACCCAGGGGCGCGCAGACAGGTCGGGAGAAGCAGACGATAGCTCTTACGGTGATGATGACATCGGGAGGGGTCTCACGTTGTGCATGTTAGGGTCACGTGATCTAGATTCGGTCAAATAATAGGGCTTGTAAGTCTGCTGTCTCGAAATCTACTAGCTGGCAAGTACGAGAACGAGAAGTTGTGACCTACCTACAAGCCGTATTAGTGCATGTGATTTATTTAGAACACGATCACGTGATGACTTCAAATATCAGTGCCTTACATGTATCTCTTCTGCTAGCCCCGAAGTACGTACAGACCCCCCTTCACCCGGAAGACATAGAAAGAAATATATTTTATGTATAAATATATATATATATATATATATATATATATATATATATATATATATATATATATATATATATATATATTTCAATTAGATGTCCGTATATTTTAAAAGTTTCCCGACTAAGTCCTCGGCTATTGTTTCAAATGAAGAAGACTAAAGATGTCAAATTAAAGCCTGTTTTATGTCATTTCAATGTCATGTCATTTAAATGTCACTTAGTGTGGCGTCAGATTGTAATCAAACAGAAACATGAATACAGAATTTCGAAACAAACTTAACCAAACTATTACATCATATTTATACTTAGGAATTTATAACAATTGAGTGAATATGTATTTTTTGAATGGCGGGAGGGAGGCGGCATACCATGGAGAGAGTCAAACAGTCTTAAAAATGTTTAAAGCTCATGGTTGCTAAACCGAAATGTCTCGAGTTCGAACCCTCGGGCAGATGAGGCTCGTTACCTGGGGACAGCCACTCTTCTAGGAGAGACAACTCCAAAATTAAACAACTGCTGCCTTGTAGTTTGTTCTTGGTTGGACAAAGGCTATGGAAGCAAATCCAAAAAGAAAAGCAGGCTGAAATCGGAGTCAATGGCCTCAATGGCGCATAACCAATTGACACGTAACGCTCAATTGTGTTGGAGGCGTGGTCGAGTCGGCAAAAAGCTCATGGTTGATAAATTCGAACAAAGTCTCGATTTCAAACCCACTGGCAGATAAATCTCGATCACCTTCAACACTAATAATTAAGAACGAAGAAGAAGAAGAAAAAAACTAAATATACAATAGTATTATTATAGCTGGATGTTGCTTTGTTGTTATAATGTTGTTTTTGTTTTAGATTTTTATTATATAAGACTTTTCCTGATCAATGATGGTATAGTTAAATATAGTTAAATTTTAAAAAATATACGTTTACCAATAAATGATGTTTTCTTCTATTTTAAAAAGACATTTACCAATCAATAATGTTATATTTATGTTTAAAAAGGCATTTACCAATCTAGCACGGGTGTCGCTATAAAGTTTGCGGGGTGGGAAAGTCCAACCGAATGCTAGGACGCCCTCGCGAACGTCAGATTTAGATTACCGTAGCTAAGAATAAATTCTATTTCTGTCGACGTCTGGGCGTCCTACTTTGAGTGAGGGGAGACTAGAAACTGCAGTGTATGCAGCGGTAGCTCTGCGTCTAGAGTTACCGCCCTTGGGTAAACTAGTGGTTTAGAGTTGTAGTCCTTGGTACGAAGGACCAACTTTCGTTCAAAATTTTTTTGTTGTTTTAATTCACAGTCTACTGATTACATGCTAATTACTGGCTTGTGACGAACCCAGAAAATATGTCTTGTGGGAATGTCCCAGTTGTAGGTGTTAAGTTGATTTTTTTATTACACAGGTGAAATATCGATTCTTTAGTTTTGTATTTTTAAATGTTTATTTCTAAAACGGTTTATACTACCCCTACCCACCCACTAAAATACTCGTGTATTTTTACACACCCCCCCCCCCCCGCCAATCTTTTAAACACCGTGGTACACACGCATCCCTTCAATAACATGTTGATAGTAAAACAAGTCGCACACACGCACACACATACACACACGCAGACACACATACACACACACACGCAGACACACGCATACACACACGCAGACACACATACACATACACAATTATTGATTGTTACCCGACCATCCAGGTACCCTATTAGACTACTACCTCCAAAAACCGGAACCAAACTACCTGCCACTCCCCCCCACCCACCACCCACACACTATAGTGCGTGGAACTTAGGAGTGGGGTGCGGGGTGGTATACAGCTCATTGTTGGGTCTCTCTAGGTGTGGCTACAGTGGATCACGGATCTGGAAGAATTTGATTTCAATACGGCTGACACACCGCAGTTTGTTGATTTCAATACGGCTGACACACCGCAGTTTGTTGATTTCAATACGGCTGACACACCGCAGTTTGTTGATTTCAATACGGCTGACACACCGCAGTTTGTTGATTTCAATACGGCTGACACATCGCTGTGTGCTGTTGATTCCTGGGCTAGTGAGGTCTTATCAATCCAGTCGCTCATTGATCGAACGTTTTATCCGGTCAGCTAAATTATGGAGGGGATGTGGTTCTTCCTGGATTTTATTAATTTTCCTTTCACTAACAAATTGGCAATTAAAGGATTCGTATGTGATTAGTGTTTGGTTAGGGATTAATTAGTTAGATTTTAATTAAGCTTCGCTGTTGGATTACTATAAAGATGGAATCAAAACGGATAGGTAAGTGATGATTTATAAAAGTTATAAAAAAGTTATATTTTATAAAAATGATAGTTTTGTAAAATGGTTGTTTTATAAGTGATATTTATAAAATAATTTCTGGCCTTTACAAATAGGTTTGTTTTTCGTATTTTTTAAAATTATTTTATAAAAGTAATATTTTATTTTTGAAATGCTTTAAGTGATAATTTTAGAAGGGATGTTTAGATGATTTTTTGTCTACTACAGTAATGAAATTTAGGTGTTTTGTGTTAAGTGTAGCTTTTTTAAAATTAACTTATAGAAAATGTATTACCGTGGGGGTGAGTGATGTTTTGTGTGTGTGTGGGGGGGGGGGGGGGGGAGGGGTAGTCTAAAATAAATTAGCATAAATTACCCGCAATTTAAACAATTTACTGTTTTATTTCAAAACCAAGTATATAGTTCCGCTTATTGATGAGGTGATAGCGTGTAGAGAATTTTTATTTGTTTAGTTTCTCGTCAGTGACTTGACGATCCAGCACTAGCCGACCCCTTGACTTCTGTTTAATACAGTAGCGCTAGTAGCGGACACCCCACATCTTCAAACAACGCCCCTTCTAGCCAGTAGCTGTCCTGTTTTCGTACCCCCTACATCCGCCTGTATCACGTGGTACGATATCGCTCACGCCGTTATGGGCGTCAGTGGTGTTCGCTAGCTTTCTCCAGCTGACGTCATTCACGTAAACAACGATCACGTGACACTGCGACAAGGATAGGAACAAACCTTATACTTTTTCAACTTTTTTGGTTTGACGTACCCTTTAAACCTGTCGCAGGTTCCGTCGGCAAGGTTTAGGTTTCTGTGTAATATATGCAGCAATTAAAATTACGTCATTGATTGAAAATTTGGGCACGACTGTGCAAAAATTGACGTTTAAAAATTATATTGCACGGTGTGAAATTTAGAGTCAATTATGAGCAAACTGAATTTTTTCATAAAAAGAAAGCAGGCGATATCACAAATAGCGGGGTGGGGATGGCTCACATTGGGAGAGGTAATGTTTTATCCGATGAACTTAGACACTAGGTCAAGGCCACCGAACTCTTTCATCAGGTCACGTGACCTTTGGTGTAGATTTTCTAAAGGTGTTGGTGGAGGTAGCCGTTTATTCGCTCGCGGCTAGATCACAGGTGAGGTATGCCAGCCTAAAGTGCCGGTAAAACCTGGCCACTCAAAGATATACAGTTGAGATTGGGCCACTCAATGAAATACGGTTGAGATTTGGCCACTAGGAAATAGATATTTGGCCACTCAGAAATAGAGATTTGGCCACTCGGCGAAATACAGTTGAGATTTGGCCACTCAGAAATACAGTTGAGATTGGGCCACTCAGAAATACGGTTGAGATTTGGCCACTCAGAAATACGGTTGAAATTTGGCCACTCAGAAATACGTTTAAGATTTGGCCACTCAGAAATACGTTTAAGATTTGGCCACTAGGAAATAGAGATTTGGCCACTAGGAAATAGAGATTTGGCCACTAGGAAATAGAGATTTGGCCACTCAGAAATAGAGATTTGGCCACTCGGCGAAATACAGTTGAGATTTGGCTACTCAGAAATACAGTTGAGATTGGGCCACTCAGAAATACGGTTGAGATTTGGCCACTCAGAAATACGGTTGAGATTGGGCCACTCAGAAATACAGTTGAGATTTGGCCACTCAGAAATACAGTTGAGATTTGGCCACTCGGAAATAGAGATTTGGCCACTCAGAAATACAGTTGAAATTTGGCCACTCAGAAATACGTTTTAGATTTGGCCACTCAGAAATACGTTTAAGATTTGGCCACTCAGAAATACGTTTAAGATTTGGCCACCCCTCTAAATACCCTTGTAACGTTACCTCCAATTATTTTTGTTCAGAACGGCCGAGCCTTTGTTTGGATTTCTCTCCCTTTGTTTATTTAAAACCTGTGGCTATCTCCACACCTTCACAGGGGATATTTGACTCAGTGCAACCCATCACAGGCATTCCATCAGCACCAGGGGGGGTAGGGGTGGGGGAAGGGAAGAGAGTGTATTGTATAGGCAGAGTCCAACTCTATCATTTACGTTTGAAAATCGTTTTTTAGATCTTATACGCTGTATAGACAATACACGATACACACACACACACATACATACATATATATATATATATATATATATATATATATATATATATATATATATATATATATATATATATATATCAGTAGCACATAACCTACACTTATTTATTTACCCAATTACTCAACACCTGAAGTGGGTATCCCCCACCCCCCGCCCACCTCACCTCCACCCACCCCATCCACCCATCTCCCCATCCAATGCTATGTGGAGATAACCATAACGTCTGAGAAAATAAAACAAACAGCACTTCTACAATCTAGGGTAAATATTTAAGCAATATGCGTCGTATTTTTTATCGCTCTAGTAAATAAAAAGGTGGGCTAATTGAACACGCGACATGATTTCGATTTCACCGATAATGACAGCGATAAAAGACTTGCAAAAATGGAAATGTATACACACTTGTGTTTTCCGTGTGTTTTTTTTTTTTTTTTTTTCAATAACTAGCAACCAACCTAGGACTTGCTAAAAATGGCAACGTGTCTCTGCGAATGTAATACACCTATATGAATACAAATGTACAAGCTTACGATATTCAAGAGGCTTTTGATTTATGCTTCGCTGATGACGAAAAGATTTTTATTTGGATCACTGAGCAAGTTATGTAAGGAAGAATTTTTTGCGTCGGTTTTTAAGAATTATTAGTCTCGCCCTTCAATATTTGTTTGGGTTAGTGTTGTATGGCCTTGGCTATGAGGTGAACAGTTCTAGAATGGTCTAGCGTGGGTAGTGAACAGTTCTTGAATGGCCAACAGTGAATAGTGAATAGTTCTTGAATGGCATAGAGTGCCATAGAGTGGATAATGAACAGTTCTTGGATGGCATAGGCTGAATGGTGAACAGTTTTCACAACCTAAAATTGTCAAGAAATTAAAAACATTGGATTAAGAAACCTTAACACTCATGAAAGACAGCGCTTTTTTTAAAAATCTGGATTTAATCAAATATCCGATACGAGTACATAATTATTTAGTTCTTTCTTTTAAATAGAATATATTAACATAACATTTGTATTTTGTATCCTGCTTTAATCTGAGAATTTCTTATAAAAAAAACTACGGTGTTTGTTCCGTACTGACCAGGGCTGAGTGTGCCTCAGGCAACTTTAACTTTACCCAACTAATGTCCGGTACTGACCAAGGCTGAGTGTGCCTCAGGCAACTTTAACTTTACCCAACTAATGTCCGGTAATGACCAGGGCTGCGTGTGCCTCAGGCAACTTTAACTTTACCCAACTAATGTCCGGTACTGACCAAGGCTGAGTGTGCCTCAGGCAACTTTAACTTTACCCAACTAATGTCCGGTAATGACCAGGGCTGCGTGTGCCTCAGGCAACTTTAACTTTACCCAACTAATGTCCGGTACTGACCAGGGCTGAGTGTGCCTCAGGCAACTTTAACTTTACCCAACTAATGTCCGGTAATGACCAGGGCTGCGTGTGCCTCAGGCAACTTTAACTTTACCCAACTAATGTCCGGTAATGACCACGGCTGAGTGTGCCTCAGGCAACTTTAACTTTACCCAACTAATGTCCGGTAATGACCACGGCTGCGTGCGCCTCATAGCAGAACCATCTTCCAGGGTAAACGTGGCTTAGGTGGTCAGTAGTCGCGTGTTCTACCCCTAGACCACGCATCCTGCAAAGAGTACATTCGTACCCACGTTAACAGCTGAACGCGTAGAAGTTGTGTGTGTTTATTGTATTTCAACTGACAACGAGCCACGTAAAAATGTCCACGACACTACATCTAGCAAGATTATTTTAACTTGAACCCGCTAACAGGGTACCAGTAACCACTGACGTCTAAATCAAATTGAAATTAATGGCTTTGGGTTCAAGTTTTTTCTATTTAAAAATGCAGACAGTATGTTAATTTTTTTTTAAATAGAGCGAAAAAAAAACACCTGCCCTAGCCCCATTTCCCACACCCCACCCCAATTGCCTACTGACACATATAAAAGCCCACGTTTCTAAGCCGCGTGGATTACGGCCCTTGTGCTGCATGTTTTACGAAGACATTGTGTCGGTGACTCGTCTCAATGTTAGAGGGAACTTTTAGAAATACGTTGTTGTCTCTCTTGTCTTGAGCCCCCCCCCCCCCCCCACACACACACGCCTCCCCCCCACACATACACACACGCCTCCCCCCCACACATACACACACGCCTCCCCCCCACACACACACGCCTCCCCCACCCCCCCCACCCCCCCACCCCCACACACACACCTCCCCCACCCCCACACACACGCCTCCCCCACACAGTGTGTCGTCAACCAGATGAAAGCGTTGTCTTTATTGAGGATTGTGGGGTCACGGGGTTGTCACGGTGAGATGATTGAAGATTGTGGGTCTTGGCCAACATGATTGAAGATTGTGGGTCTACTTAAACAAGATTGAAGATTGTGAGGCACTGAGTTGGCAGTTCACAACAACTTGAACGTCAGGTGAATGTGTCGTGTGTTCATGCTGTGTAGTTCACGTGTGGCCACAGTGACAATGGCTGGATAGCATACACTGGGAGGTACAGTAACAATTTACTTTAATGTTTTACATACGTTGGCGGTATGCCCTGCGTAATTAGGCCTTAGGGTTGGGTTTAATAACACACCTAGCCTAAATTAGTGTGCAAACATGAACTAGGGTCATGTCGTCACAACAGGATGTCACGAAGATTTAGCGAGAAACAACACGTATCTAAACAACGTGTCATACAATAACTTTTAAAGGTTGGTTTTTTTTTTCAATAACCGGAAGTAGATTTTAAATATTATATATGCGATATCATGTATCTTAGCACGTGTTGTATGTGCATAGCAATGTGAAGCGTAATATGAACCTCACGACAACTATAAGTTCGAATTT